CAAACAAACAAACAAACAAACATTCTGTTAATTTAGATATGTTGAATTTTGAAAGTGACCAAGCTGTAATAAACTTCAGTTTGAAAAGAAGCAGGTATGCTAGGTTATGTTTAATTAGAATCAGCTTCAGTTTAACAGTCGCCATACCATCTTGAATCCCTAATTACTGCTCATCCTCATCAGTCATCAAAATTTGTTAATACTGATAGTGACGTTACAGTTTGTTCAGTTATGCTGTGTAATGTTTGATGAGTTCTTGGGGTTTTCTAGGTGGATAATTACATATATGCCACGGTGGAGCCTACACATTCCTTTGCTGATCAAAAAAGGATAAATTTATAAGTTACAAATGGAATGACATCCTTGAAATGAAGTAAATTTCATATTCTTAAAAAGGATTTTAAACATCTGTATAATTAGTATCTCTGAAATTTCTAACAGTGTATCTAGTGGAAATATTACAGAAAATACTATTGATAGTTCCTTAATTATTGATTTTTTTTTTCTAGTGTTTTCCAAAGGACAGTGTGAAACAGGACCATATCGTTTTCTTGCTAAGCATGGAGGTTATGTATGGTTGTTGACCCAAGGAACTGTCATCTATGAAAACAATTCAACAAAGCCACAGTGTGTTGTTTGTGTCCACTATGTACTTAGGTGAGTTTCGTGTTATTCACTATGTGCATTAGTTCTTACAAACATTATTTTTGCAAATCAGTATGTGTAAAAAAATTATTATAAAGAACAAAATAATAAGTAAAGAGATGTAATTTCTTTTAAGAAATAGTTTCTGGTGCTATAAATTGTCTGTTATATATTAATGTTAAATTCTTGATTTATTTGAAATAAATGGTTTTATTCAAAACAAGTTAACTTACCTCTGAAATACTAAAAGTCTTCATTGTTGAGTTTCCTCTCATGCTGTCAACAGTTATGTGACTTTAAGTTCCTCATGGTCTTCTACTTTATTTGACCCATCATCAGTTTTCTGCTTTGCATGCTATGATTTGTCCCATTTTGAAATTTTTGTTATCAGTGCAATTATTAGCTATCAGATACTTTTGCTCTTCTGATTCCATAGCCAGGATAAAATTTTTACCTTGATATCCTCCTTAGCTATGGCTCTCGCTGGTGTAATTTATATTTCTGTATGTTTTTTATGTTCCTTTGACTCATTAGACTGTCAACGTTTCAGCTGACCTTGAAAACTTTTTTTTTCTGTATCACCGTTATTGCCAGAATTTCACTTGTAATGTGATAGTTTCCCATTCAGGATGTGCATGTCATTTGGAGCTGAATAGAGTTTTAGCATTTGGACTCACTTTTGATAGTTGTTCCTTTTAGGGAAGACCAGCAAGTAATGTTCATCCTTCTGCCTTGCCTCCCTCGTCTACTTTCTAGGCAACGTCAACTATTTCTACTCATTCCTTTTGACCTTTCCAAGTGGCCAAACATAGAAGTAAGCAAGATGGATCTACTTGACCTACTCATTGATTCTCTTCTGACCAGACGTATCTCTCATTGGAACTATTTGGAGTTGTTTAGGATGACTGGTTTATCTATGAGACTCTTGGGTTTGATAGAACTTTTAGTCTGGTCTCAATGTCTTTTTTCCTCTTCCTTACAATTCATTTGCTTATATATTCTGGATCAGGAAGCCTAAAATCTCCTTCAGAAAGGTGTATTCAAAATAATTTATCATGCTTTACAAGGCCCCCCCCCCCAATCTCTTTGTGGTTCTGAAGAAAACAGGAGATTGGAGACCTCTCATAGACCTGTCTCAACTCAATCTGTACCTGAAAACACCTCATTTTAAAATGGAAAACATGAGATTGAAAACAAAGCTTTGTTGTGGCCAGTAAACGATGCAGGTGGATATATAGTATGCTTGTATTTATATCCCTGTATATTAGTCATCTCATTCTTCTTTTTTCAATTGGGGCATAGTTTATGTCCTTTCCTTCAGCTCATATGTTTTCTGTCATGAAATTAGAAGTTTTTTCTGGCCTTCTTCATACACTTGACATTCACCTTTACTTGTACTTTGACAATTGGATTATTCTGACCCTTTCATCCATTCAGTCTTTTATGCACATTCAGTTGGCCAATAGCTAGGTACGTCTCTTGGGTGGATCATCTATAACTGTAATTCCTATTTAATGCCAAAATAGTATTTGCCACATCTCGGGTTTTGTTTAAGGTACACTTCAGCTCTCTCTCTCCTATGGCATTGCAAACCTTAGAACCATGTACATGTTCTTTATGTCTTCCATCAAAGTCATTCTTTCTGCTGTAGGGAGAATGTCTTCATTTCATGAAGTCATTCTCTTGAGACATGCAACACTACCATTGGGTCTTTGATTCTCAGTGGCACCTGACATCAGATTCATTTTCATACAGCATGCCTGGTTCTTACATAACTCTCAACTCTCCAGTTTGGGTTGAACCGAGAATTTATGACAGTAAGATCTTCTTTTTCATCTTCATCCTGTAGATGATTTTTTCATAGATGCCTCTCTCAGTTTGAGTTGCTGTGTTGGGGAATCAGCATTGTCCTGGTTTTGGACTTCTCAGGAAGCAACAGCTCACACCATTATGTTAGAACTTTGGGCTGTTCTGTAGTTTCTGGCCCTTCTATACCACAGTTCTGTTAGTGGTGGCTTATTTTTACAGACAGAGCAATACTCATTCTTTCTAAAATTTATATACTTACTTAGCTTCATTCTCAACTTATTCACCTTTAAGCCTCTGACATTCTTGGTGAGAGAAATTTTTTGGCAGACTCTTCTTAGTTTGTCGGTTTCTCCCCAAGGAATAGACTCTCCACCCTTTGGCTTTTCAGTGACTATGTGAAAAACTGGTCATCCATTTATCTATGTCTTTGCTATGTCAGTCACCTTCCACTCTAGTGGTCTCCATTTCCAGTAAGTCAGTTTTGTCATCAAATTTGAGGGCTCCCAAAACTCCTTGACCTTCTAGTTTTGAGGCTTCTTCATGACTTTGTTCAAAGAACATTTATTTACTTATCTTTTGTGGGGGTTAGAAGCCTACATACAGAGCAGATTTTAAATCATTATGCTTAAAATTGTGAGAGGTTCAACAATATGGTAAACACAAATGTATAGTTCCATTTCTAAATTACTATATATATATATATAATGAAACTATACAGTGTTTTTTGTTTTTTTTCTGACTTTCATAGTGGAATAGAAAATCTAAGTGAAGTGGTTTCAGATGAACAGGTAAAAAATAAGATGGAAACCTCTCCAGAATCCTTTGCTTTGAGAAGTTCTACTAATAAGCTTTTCTGTCATTGTACTGAAGGCATGACGAAAGGACTTATGATGTTTACTGAAGGAGAAAATGGCTTGACTGGTAAGAATAAACATTAATTTCTTGTACAAACTTGGAAACTTGTATTCAGAAATGATATCTAACAGTGCTCCTTGCTGCTTTATATATATTTGTATTGAAACTTGTAAACATTGTTTTAACAGATAACGTGTCAAACATTGTAAAGGCTGCAATGTCTTTGGTAACTGAGTTATTTTATACATATATCTCTTTTAGTCTTCAGTTTTCACTCATCATTTCTTAGGCAATACATATTTCTATTTTGAGAATCTTTGAACAACTATGAGTCTAATGTTTTATTCTAAGCTATCTTTCTTTTGAAAGATTTAAGCAATACAACCTAATCAAATATCCAGACATTGAAATACAAATAAAAAGTATTATTTTATAGGACATATCACTTTGAGTTTTTCAGTGTATACTTGATTTTGGTCCTTTTTAGTTAATATAGGATATGTCTACTTTTCTTAGCTTTGTTCACATGCTATTAATATATCATTTTTTTTCTTTTTATTATTAATACAAAGTACAACTGGTAAAATTTAGGATTTCAAGTGTAACTTTAAATATAGCAATAAATTAAAAATGTCATCATGTACAAAGTGAAAAGGAGAGAGTAAAGTTGATAACAATAGGTTTTTTTTCATATGTTCAAGGCTTGTCATTAAGAATAGGCAACATAATTCAGAAATATATAGATTGTAGTTTAACATTCTCTTTGCACTGTATAAAAGGTATAAAAGATAAAGTAGAAATAGTTAATAAATATAAAATTTATAAAATTCCTTGTGTCTGTGGTTGAGTTTACATTGGCCAAGAATATAAGGTAAATGATTCATCCTAGCAGAAGTCATGGTAAGTAAATTTCATGTTATAGACTGGAATAATGTTAAACTCATAAATCAAGTGGAGTTGAGGTGTGAAGTAAATATCAGAAAACAACAGAAATTGAAAAAAACAAAACAATAATATTGTGTTCAACGGAGTGGTTGGTCCAGGTTTAGAAGAAGTGCAGTAGTGGACATATGTATGCAGATTACTGTGTAGTTATATGGGTCTTGATCAGACTTTCAACTTTTAATCCTGAAGATGGTGGCATAAGAACACTGAAACATCTAGTCTTTTTAGGGCAGATCCCTGTTTTTAAATAGTTATTTATTTTGTGATTATTTTAATGTTGTATATAACTTCTTTTTCTAAGGTGGTTATTATGTCAGTCATGTAGTGTTAAGGTAGAGAAAATAACAGATAAAATATAGTTTTACTGGAAAAAACTTTCGATATTCATTTAAGAACTTTCAGAGGTTATGAAATATGAAAAATGTGAGATGAAAAAAGTATTTTTAATCTTAACTGGAAAATCAGTATGCACTCAGACTAGTCACACTGTTACTTGATAAATTCATAGAAAAACCTCTTGTAAAAATATTTAATTAAAAATTGATTTTTTGTGCCATAAATATTCAATTTTTACAAAAAGCTTTCCAAATCTTATGAAGATATAGCATGTATAGTTTCATTGTTACATTGTGATTAGAAAGTTAATCAAAATGATTGGCACCATATACAGAGAGTTAATACTGTTTCATTGTGCGGTGTTATGTAATATTATTAGTTAAACCTTTGACTTTCAATGGTCAGAGCAATGAAGTTTTTAACAAAGTAGGTGTTGGTTAAAGTTAGTTTTATATATCAACTTATTGGCAACTAAATTGAGATCTGATGAAATAGTGCTTTTGTACAAGTATGTATGCATATAATATAATATATCAGGATATAAAAGACTGTTTAGTTTAGATATTATTGATTATTTTATGAGTGAATATTTTATTGTTCAGTTTTTGTTTAGTAAGAGTTAAATGCAGATAATTGTAGGAAGTTATGTTTATAATTCATTGATGCTGAGACTATCGAATGTTGTGTGCAATATGTTGATGTTGAGAATATAGAGATTTCTAGAAGGTGGGCAGATGATTAAGTGGTGGAGATACAAATAGTGTGAGATGAGCAAAAACAGCAGACAGACAATAGTAGAAGAGAGTAAAGTTGTGGGCAAGGAAAAGTTTGGCGTGAAGTTAACTACCGTAGAAGTGATAGGCCTAACATTTAATATGTTACAGTAAGACTAACAGTCGAAAAAGAGATAAGGAGAATAACTTATTCCATCAAAGCATGGTTGTAAAGTAACTGGATTAGCCTGAGTGCACTTTGACAAAGGAACAGAGGATGTTTTGAAGAAAGAAGACCAAATGATTATGGTAACTTGCGCCACACTGAATACTAGTGCAATAGTAATAAAGAAGATAGTTTGGCTTGTCAATTGAAATTCTAAAGCAATTCAATAGGCCTAAGTGGACTTTTGACAAGAAGAAAACCATATATATATATATATATATAGTGTTTATGATATGCTTATAATCTCTATAGTGTGAAGTATTTGTTGTACATACCTCTAACTTGTTCCAAATGTATATATTATTGTGTGTGCTGTTCATTTATCGTTGAATTTATCACCAACAAATCACAGACACCTACTGTAGAAAAATCCTAAGCCCAACAGCAAAAAAGTGTATATTTATACTATTAAGAAGTATAAGTAAAAGCCTTTTATTTTGACAATTGCTTAAGAACTATATTTTAATTTTGACAACATACATGAATTTTATTTTTTCAAATTGTTTATTCATTGTGTGGTAGTGAAACACATATTATACTTTATTTTGTAAGTATGATCAATAATGTATTAATTAACTCTCTCAATACAGGCTCAGTCGATCAACCACATGACCTTTTTGTACTTGTTTAAAGTCTTTATAGATTTAATACTTATAACTCTCAATATGGTGTGTATATCTCACGAAATTTGGCAGTCTTTCAGTTAATATTACAAGTCTTTCACAAACAAAAAATCATATTTTTTAGTGAGGTATTTTTAATAAAACAAAACAAAGATTTGTCCTGGAATATATTGAGTATTTGTTTTGAATAGTCTGTGTGCAAAGTAATTTTCATGTTAAAATTAAAAATACTTTTCTTCATCTCAAAAATCTCAAATTTCCTTTGTGTAATCCCTAAAACCTCCATAATGCATTTCAAACGTTTGTTTTGTCAGTAAAACTTTATAGTTTATCTGTTATTTTCTTTACTCTAGCTCAAAACAGGATTGTAACCACCAAAAAAAAATCAAAATAAACCTAAATTACCTTTTTTTCGTTCTAGAATGACTTCAAATCATAACATGAAACTACATTTGTTTATCCTTAGTAGCTCTAAGTTCATAACAGTATACATCTATTTATAATTAAATGTTATTTTTTTTATTGCCCTTTGAACCGTGTCTGACTACTGTCCGTGCCATTATAAGTTGTAAATCACTCGGAGAACGTGCAGCTCATGGTACGCTATCAAATTACATTACCCACAAGCTGCTTACATGCATGCCTAATAAAACATTTTAATTATTTTTATTATTATTACTTATTTTACCTAATCTAGTCTTAAGTAACTTAAAAAGATCTGTATTTTTAGATTTTAGTTACTTTTATAATAATAAATAAAGAAGAAATATGAAAAAGAAGAAATAAAATACTTACTCAATCTTCTTTTTTCTTGTTGTCAATTGTTGAGGACAGTTAAGCCTAATTCTTTATATTGATAATAGTAATGCACTTAATAATTTTTATTTAATTAAATAATCTACCAAAGAATATAGACTAATAACATGCAAAACGTAGACATATTCCCTTACCTCTCCAAATTTTTCTGGCTTTCTAACTATGTGATAAGAGCCATTACAAATTCATTGTACAAACCTTGTAGTATGATTGAAATTGATGATATTCTGTTCAGAACATAAAGTTATACAATACATCATTTGACAGATGAAAACCTTGACTTTCTATTGGTTATAGGTAATACATAATGAAACGTAAGAGAGAACTATCAACGAATTGTGAAAGGGAGGATGTGACAAGTGGGTGTGGCAGGAGGGGTCTGATTTTCTATTAGATAGCTTTGTAATCAAACAAAATTGAAGACTATAAAAATTATGGTTTGTCTGAACAAAAACGATTTTATAGCGAATAATTTACATTTAATTTTGTACTTTTTTGAGGGGTGATCGATAAAGTGGGGATGATGGCATGGTAAGAGAAAATGTGTCATGTGGGTCACACAAGTGAGAATTCAGGATTTTTTTTAAATATTGCCTTTTAGAATTAAGAACTTAAAACTTATATATTATTAAATTATGTATTATTAGCAAAGATTTTATGCTGTTCTAATTGGTATAACATAAACAAAAGGTAGTTTAATATAATTTTGAATGTAAGACACTAAAACCTTGTGTCATGTGCAGTAAAGGATACCCAGGGCAATAGGGTTAATTATTTTGTAAAAAAAATGTGTTTGTTTTTGCTAGATATATTTCGTGATATGATTCAAGACAACAAGATTTTACCAGGAAAGAACTTAATAACCGAGGTACCATCTCCTTTAAGTGGATGTAGCAGTCCACTAAATTGTGATTCCTTTCTACAATACAGGGAAGATTCTTTGTACTCTCCACTTTCATCTGAAACTATGAGTTCATCTCTTAGCAAGGTACTGCATTTAATTAGATGTTTTTCATATTTTTTCTTGCAAATTGGTGTACTCTTGTTATATAGTAATACAGCTAAAGCATGACATATTACAATATTTATTTTTTTACAATTAATATTTTGATTAGAGCAAGCAACGTACTGAAAGTAAAACTAAAAATCAATGCAGTAATGAGTATAGCTAATTACATATGCATTTCTTACTTACTAACGAAGATTAGAATGTTTTTTTATTTTCAATATTTTCTACCGTGAACTTAATAATATTTCAGGAGGCTTGGCCAGATTAGGAAATTTAGGTTAAAATGTTTTTGAACAACACAACATCATGATAACTGAGTACAAATGGAACTGTCCACAACCTTCCTTAAAAACATGTTGTAACCAAAGGAAATCCAGTAAAGAGCACCAACTGTATAACTTTAGAAGAGCAGTGGCATCTAAGATAAATTGCTAAGACATGTTACTGTTTAGGTGGAGAGTCAAACAGCAGGATATTTCCAAGAGAACAGCCAAAACTAATGTTTATGAAGATTCAAAATAATGAACAAGAAACTAAATGAATACCTGAATCAAGTGATAAAGATGTAGAATATTGGTTCTGCAATTAAAATATAACAATGTGAGATGTAAGACAAAGGGAATAATACGTTAAACTTACAGTGAGGTGGGTCTAAATTACATATCATCTTGTAGTGTGTTTATAATGCTGAAGCCTACTAGACTATTGTTTTGAAATGAAATTGCAATTGAATATGTATTAGGTTTTTAAAGTTATGTAGCAATAGTTGCAGTTAACACTAGTTTGATTTATATTTACTTTGATGATTAGGATTACCAGGACATTAGCCCAAAATGCATTGCCTCAGATATTCATATTGTTGCTTCCGTAGAATTTAAATGCAGCTACTGACTTCTAGAGTAAAGACTCCATTTGTCTCTCATTAGTAACAAAAATAAAAAGCTTTAAACTTAGAATGTAGCTGGTATTGTGCCATTGACTGTTATTGAAATTCAAAAATATGAAAATCCCCTGTTGTTGTTGAAAAGAAAACTACGGCATAAACACACACCAGAAGAAAAAACAGTTATAAGTAGTAATAACATTGGAAAAACATAGTATATTCAGTAGTACTTATAAGCTAGTATAAACTAAATAGAAGAATTAAAGAGGCTTTTCTTTACAGAAATACATTAATAGTTTGTATATAGTAATCTAATCTATACACACAGAGAAGAACCTACATTTAAAAAAGGTGTTTTAAAAATTTTCTAAACATCTTAGATAACTAATTTTTGAAGAACTTGAATGTGATTGTGTTGTGTTCAGTAACTAAACATTCTTATAAAGTATTTAGTAATTAGTCAATGTGTCATATGACTCAAATCCAAAGAAGTAGGATACTACAATATAGGAAACTGCATTACCAAATATATACAAGTGTATAGTGCATAATAGGACATAATTCTAGTGGTCATAACTATTATCTGATTTTAATTTTAATTTTTATACAGATTAACTGCTTTCATAAATTTCAGTTGTTTTATTTATGATATACCTTTTATTAATATTGATTATTTTTATCACAATATGTATAATATATATATACACACACACACACACACACACTCTTATTTTTACTTGAAAATGTTATAAAACTTTATTATATGTCATTATTAGTTGAAAATAAATTTTGGCAATGAATATATTGTCCATGGGAATAATGTCTGTACCCTGCAAGCTAAGTGCCATTCAATTGCCAATGTTTCCAGATCTATGAATCTATATTATTCAGCATCCTGGAAGACAGATAATTTTTAGTTAGCTTCATCTTACAAAATGACCATTCCCCCTTATGCAGCGGTGGCTAGAATTGTGTGAAAAATGTGAACATCTAAATAGCAATTAGAAATGTTAATCCTTTTCTTTTATCTATTTGGTATTTATTAACCAAATATTTTTTCCTTCTCCAGGGCCATAGGTTCAGGAAAAAAATCCCCAGTCTCCCTGCACACTTAATGGGCATTTTTATAAAACTTACCAGTTTAAAAACTATCAATTGTCATTGGCTTTATTGGTTTTCCTTGCTAACTGTATGTTCTTTCTTGGTTCCAGAGTGGAAGTAGTAGTATGTCTGACTTGAGAAGCAATAAATACAGTGTTTCAATGGAAGATCTTCCAGCTTTAGAAAGCCCTATGGAACCTTTGTCAAACTGGGACTTGAAATATGACTCATCTAAAGTCTTTGCAGATAAAGAAACAGATATTCAGGTAAATTTTGTTTTTTAATTTAGAAAAATTATCCAGTTACAGTGTAGCTTCCCAGGGCCGGATTAAGAGTTTGCAGGGCCCTAGGCCATTTTAACTGTTTTAAAGGAGACCAAGAGAGAGAGTCCATAAGTAGGCATGAGAAAAAGCTCATATTTCTGTAAGAAAAATGTTTTTATTACACTGTAAAAAAAAAAAAAACACATTACTCCTAATTCTAAAAGTGAACACAGCCATGCCAAAAAATGCTGCTTAGGAACTGTGTACTAATGTGGAATGTACCCCAATTTCTCTTCCTGAATTCTATCTATCCCATAATAATCTGTTTATCTATTTTTCTATTCAAATTCAGTTATATAGAGATTGGCAAAGACTTCATCTCGAAACCTTAGGAGCAGGGCCCAGACTAGGCCTTAATCCTGCCCTGTAGCTTCCATAGTTGTACCTGCTTAACAAATACATCTTCACTGTAAATTTAGGGCGTAGTTATTCAATCTTTGGTTAATAAAGGACCAGGTAATGAGTGATGAAAACACCTAACAGACAGTTTTCTTTGCATACAAAAGTAAATATTACATAAATTTTTAAAATAATAATGTTTTATGACTAAATTGGTGTTGGAGCTAAGATACAATTAGCTTGATGGACCCAAAAGTAGTTCAAGGACTGTCATATGGACAAACTTACAGGTAAATTTTCAAATGCTTAGAAACTGTGTTCCATTCTTTATTAAGTGTCAAGAGTTTAGAAAATTATAGCAAAAAACTAAAATTTTAACTTACAATAATTATGAGTATTTAACGAATTTAAAACTAAAATTTTAACTTACAATAGTTATGAGTATTTAACGAATTTAAAACTAAAATTTTAACTTACAATAGTTATGAGTATTTAACGAATTTAAAACTAAAATGCATTACTCATTTCCTTTTAAATTACTTCTGATAGAGTTTCGTAACTCTGACTACTAGAATATTGCAAACTTTTGGATCTCATGGTTTCTGTTCCAAATCCAATAAAAATAATTTACGGTTTTTTAAAGTTTGAAAATAAAAAAAAAATTAAGTTTGACAAACCTATTATTATTAAGTACAAATTTATATATTCTGTATTACTGAACTTTGATCATGCATACTAATTGCAAAACTTCAAAAATATATGGGTACAATTTTTGCTTAAAAGATAAATTAGTCATATTTAAGTTGTAATGGAGTTTTTTAATTTGCTCATGGTTACATAAAAGTATTCATTATTTATCAAAAACCAAAAATGCTTTCTCTTGAATAGCAAACAGCAGCTAAGTATATACTATAGAAATACTTAAGGTAGAGCTTAAATAAAGGTACTGATTACTTAGTGAAACGACAATGACTTAACTTTAATAGGATATGTGACATGAGTACTTTAGGTAATAACCAAGTTAAGGAATATGTATGGTTACACAGAAGCACATGTAATAAATAGTTTTAAAAAATAATTTCTCTGTTCAGTTTAATGGCAAGTTTGTGGCTTTAAACAGCTGATATTTGTATTTATATTGTGTTACCAGCTTTAAAAACAGACATTTATTATTATGCTAGTTAAAATATTGCAGTTGGACCTTGTTCATTTGGGCTGTATTTCTTGTCATCCATAGATATGGCTTTGAATTACCTCTGTGTATTAACTGTTTTATACTTTTAACTGCTAGTTTTTTCTTTTTTTGTAGTTTCATATTAGTAATAGTTAGATATAGATTGCTTTAAAGATATGCCTTAATGAAGTTAGAAATATTATATAAACCAGATAAATGATGTAGACTGAAGTAATAAAGAAAGGGCTTAATATGTTTTACTTCTTATTCATGTGATATATTCATAATGTTATGTTTGGTTTTTCATATATATTTCTTAACAGTTATGTTTAAAAGCTTCAAAATATTGGTAACAATTTAGCTTAAGTATGACTGTACTTTTTTTATTGAATTTGTTCTCTCTGTGTTTCTAATTTATTTGTTAAATTCTTATACCATTTTATACTTTTTGTGATTTATTTTGTACTCATTCTTTTGTCTTTCAAAGTAACCTTCTAGCTTTTTAGTGATGTAATTATGATAAATATCCATTGTTGTGTTGTCAGCTTTTATTGAACATGAAAAGTTTTCTGTTTTTTTATCTTTGTTTTTAAATACAAAATATATGATCTTAAAAAGTAAAATAATATACATATTAAAAAATATGAAGTGATCATTAAGCTTTGAATTTTCCATAATGTTTTCAATAAGGGAGATAGCTAACAAGATGATTATTTGCTTCTCTTCTTTTACAAATGTAACAGGGCCAAGTGATACCTTTTGTTGCATTATTCAAGCATTTTGAGTTGCAACCATTTTTGCTAATGTAATGTTTGGGGAAAAAAATTTTTTTAGATTAAAGAGATAAGGACAAAAAATAGATAATATATTATTGAGTAAACTTATACACAATATAATAGCTTAATAATATGTTGAATAAGCTGCAGTATTTTATTTTTATTTTTTAACTTACATTTGTTCCACTGCAACTTCACAGTCTTCTCTTTATCACTAAAATTATGTTTATATGTCTGTAAGCATTATAAATATTGTGTTAAATGTATCATAATATCCATTGTCTTACGTTACAATAATAAATGTTATGGGTGAGATTTGCATGTATATGAAGATCAGATTACTTCAAATAAAAATTCCAGAATTATATTTACTAACTACAAAAAAGTTTAATACATATTTATAGTTGATTATTGTACCAAATAGCTAATAAAATTCATTCTAATGCTAAACTTGTTTTAAATATATATCAGTAATTCTTCACTTTATTACTTCACATTTGATATAATTTAATTACAGAAAAGTCACACACTTTAGCTTTGAGAATTACATTCCAATAGAAGTAAATATATTTTTCATCTTAACTTTCTTTTGGGGATTTTGAAGTGTGGTGCTGTATATTTTACACAGTGAAGTGTTACCAAATATTCAAAAGAATTTTTAATCAGAGTAAATGTCTAATTTTGAAAATTTATATTGAAGAATTACAAAGACTTGAAAAAAAGAATTAAATTTTGGCAATTAAATTAAAGTATTAAAGTTAATTGTAGATGTATCTGTAAAATGAAAATGGCATTTTCAGAAATAAAGTATTATTATTTTCTTTATAGGATGAAGAGTTTATTGGAAGGGCACCGTATATTTCCATGACAACAGCAGATGATTACCCACTTTTCAGTCTTCCTGAGAGAGAGATGTGGGAATCCCAAGAACATCCTCGCCGGAGATCTTTAAGCCACAGGTATTTAAATTCCAATTAATTTAAGCTTAATAATACCTGTTAGTGATGTAAAATCAATGAAAAAACTTAAATAAGTCATTGCTTTAGTTGTTTGAAAACTGTTGTAAGTAGAGAAAAAACACTCCCTTTCAGAATTAGAGATAATTGCATTTAAATAACAGAAGAAAATTCATATTAACTTTATGAAGGAATTAGAACATATACAGTATTATCACTCCAAGTACAGAGTATTTTGTCTCAAAGATTGCAGACCTATGTATTAAAAAAAATAACAATGACAGAATTTCAAATATACTTGCTATATTTTTATAGGAGATTTTTGATTTGGCGGGAAAAATAGCAATTGAATGTAAAAAGAAGTAATCATTTGTGATACAACATTAATCTTGTAATATTGTATTATGAAAATAACACAAATGTGAAATTATCAGTGTAAGAGATACAGTTTGTAAATCCTTTCTTCCAGAAGGGTGAACTAACGTCTTTATTTAGGTCACACAAAGGAATTTTCTTATATTGAAAGTAGTACTAACTTATTTTTGGTTAAAAAAATATACCTAGAAAATCAAATGTATCTAAATTAATTTTAGAAAATTATATTTGATATCAAATAGGATAGAAAAATCAAAGAATATTTAACAAGTACATAAGTGTGTCAGGTTTGTAATGAGTTATTTTTTTAGAAATGGAAATAAAATTAGTAACTGGTAGTAAGTATGGTGTAATATTTTCATTCATCAGCATCATCTTTATCTGCAATTATTGATATCATACTCTCCAGAATAATGGTCTTAAAATTGAAACTTAAAAATATATTAGTACTTAGATTGTCATATGATCAGGAACTTTATTTTGTTTTCAAATTTTGAATTGTTTTTGTAATCACTTATTCCATTGGATGACTGCAGCTTGTACTTGTATGTGTCACAGGAGAAGTAATAACCCACTCCAAATTTTCTAGTAAAGTTATATTGATGTTATTGATTATAATGTTTAAAATACTTCTGAATATTATTATTAATTTTACTCTTAAAAAGATTATTTTGCATTATTAGTTTAGAATATAAGGTAAGGTTGGCAGAACCATTTGAGTTATTATCAGGGTTAACTGAAAAAAACTCCACTGATGATTCAATGCATTCTAAGCATTATTAGTTTATAAATAATGTTTTATTTCTGATCTGTTTAGTTAGCTTACTTTAGGTGATAAGTTATTAATAACAACTATACTTCAACAATTTTTATGCTGTTCTTTGAATGTGTTGAGTGGATCTTGTAGACATACCTTAGTATGGTATCCCTAGTGGTGACAAAACATTTCTCTCAACTGATGTAAGACTTATTAGGCCTATAATTACTGGGACAATTTTTTATCACCTCCCTTGAAAAGAGAAGTGACATTAGCTAACTTCCAATCCTCTAGTACCTGCCCACTATTCAAGTACTTACAAAAAATAGTAGCAAAAGGCTCGCATATCCAATCCTTATCCTCCTTCAAAACCCTTGGGGAATTATTATCTGACCCAGGAGCCATATCATTTTTTAGACTTCCCAATTTTTCTTGACAAGCTCAGAATTAATGCAGTCATATTGTCCAACTTTGTTTCCATCTATCAGCTGTTCAAAATGAGGAATACTGCTTAAATCTTCATTAATAAAAACTGAAGAAAAAGCAGAATTTTAATAACCCAGCCATTTCGTAATTATTCCTCAAGGGTCCTACCCTAATCCTAACATTTTGTTTACCCATAATGTACCTAAAGAAGTCCTTACTGTTAATTTTTACATTTTCAGCCAACCTTTTTGATGTCCTAATTTCCTGTTTGACCAACTTTCTTGATCTTCTATAATCTTCTATCTCCTTTCATACCAGTCAATTCAAATTTCTTAAACCTGTGATGCTTTGATGAATAATGTTATTACATTCAGTATCATCTTTTTACATTGAAAAATCCTTTCTTTGGGCTTATGGTTGCGTGTTCCTACCTTTACATACTCTAGTATGCATCTTTTTTCTTTTTTTTTGTAATATCTAATCTGGACACCTTATGGAAGACCTACTGGATGGTAAAGGCTAAAAACAACTATCACAAAACCATCTCACCTTATCCTTGTGGGTTTATTGTATTGTCCTGTACTATAGATTTGTTTTTCTGTTGCTAGTTTTGCTTATTTGTGAGGTCATTAGATTTGGTATTCAGAAGCTTCTATCTTTAAGTTTGTTTTCTGAGTATTGGTATATTTATGTCTAGGCTTCTAGGAAAATATATGATTTTTGGTTCTTAAAATATTTAGTTTTGTAGTGATTAAAGAATTTCTAATTATACTCTTATTTGTCTTGTTTTTATTATGATTTTCTGTTTATTTATATTTATGTGATACCTCATTTATTTCATTTTAGCCCTTCTCGGGCTGTTATCAACATGAAAGAATTTGGCTCCTGCACAACACTTTCTCCGACAGTCAGTAAATTTACTTTGTCACCATCAGTACCAATGGAGACAAGCTTTACACAAGATATCCGCAGTCGTAAAGATAGATCAATGCTACTCATGGACAGAAAACATAAAAATATACGAACCATTACAAGTAGAAGTCTATCTCCGTCTGGAATTGATCATGGTGGAGGAAATAGTAAGATTGATTTATCTGTTCACAAACACATGCCCAATGGTGAAAAAGTAATTACCTTGGAAGGTTTGCCAAAGTCACAGGCTGTAATGAGCATAGACAAGAGTCATATTAGGGAATGTCCTGTACAGTTTAATGTCCCAAAAGTTTGTGTAACATTAGCTGAAGAAAAATCTGTTCCAGCAGAAGCTACGCAACTGGTCAGTTCATTACCTTTTAAAAGAGCCTGTGCTAACTTCCAACCAGCTCTGAACAGTTTGAAGCGAATGAAATTTGGAAATGAACAGAATGAAAGTAAGTTTATGTTTTCTTACTGAATTGTGAGGAAGAGTTTGTTAAGTTTCTGTTTTCAACCATTGTCTAGTCTTGTTTATTTTTATACTCTCAGTTAGAACTATTAAACTGTACTTGTATTAAAACTGGTCATGTGTATTCTTATTTTGATGAGTGATACTTTTTTAAACCATAGTAATTCTAATGTATTGCAAAAAATTGTTCTTGCCCAAAATAAACAAGTATAGTATATAATAGGATGTGGTATATGATATAGGCAGTGTAGAACTTTTATTGGTTGTCCAAAGTACAATGTAACAGAAAATTTGATTTTAAAAGATACGTATTCAAATCCTCAATGATCATCAACAATAAACATTTGAGGAGAGGGATAAACAACAACTGTCAAAAGTAGTGTATCAAACTTCCAAATAGTGGTAAAAGCAAATGCACGAGTCATTTTAAAGTGACAGGAACTGTTTTCACATTAGTAATTACATTTTGCAGATTGTCTTTTGAAGTCTTTCTAAGTTTTTATCCAAGAAATTTAAAATTGTTATCTGCAAAGAGTCTGGATATTTTTCTTCATTATTTATTCATAGTTAGCTATGGAAGTTTGAATAAATTAGTAAAGATATTCCTCACGGGATATAGGGTATTCACTTGAGTGAAGAAGAGATAAAATGGTTACTTAACAGCCTCATTGATAAAGGAAAACACAATAGACTTTTAATGAATCTTAGAGGAACCAACACAATGGTAATTTCATGATCTGAAGAATATACCAGAATATACCTAAAGGTAGAAGGTAGAGTTGTAACGTGTGTAGGAGTTTACTTATTTGGGGATGAGTATTGATAGTGATGGCAACTGTGAAAAATAGATAAAGCAAACTGTATATGAATGACAAAAACAGCATTCTTATCAAATCTCAAATAATTGCTTAAGTGAATTGTCAAGCTTGAACTGATGAAGAGACTACTAAAAATGTTACGTATGATCCGTCCTACTCTTACACATGGAGGTGTGGACTCTGTCTGCTGTAACAAAACAGCAGTTAGACATAAATGAAATGTGGTGCTGTAGTTGAATGATGAAGAACAGCTATACAGAAAGAAAACTAATGAGGAAATATTGGAATGATGTGTAAAGACAAAATATTCAACTGTGGGATACATGTAGCAAATGGAAGATGTTTTTTGGGGGGCATGTAATTATATCTAAGATAAGATTCAAAGAGATTGTGATAAGTGAAATTAAAGAAAGAAGAGTGAGAGGCAGGCAAAGACTTGGATGACTCAATGACGTTAGAATTCTAGATGAGATGTTTGAATCAGGAAAGGTGGTACATGCAGTAAGGAATCGAAACAGTGGAGAACCTTAGCCACTAGCCCACAGAATTGGAGAGGTTGCCAGGATTGATTGATTAAAAAAAGGTTATTTTCCCTATATCTAACAATAATATGATTCTAAACATAAATATTGTTTTAAGTTCATTTACCAGATGAAAAACACTGGTTATTTCCACTTGTAGAAAAGTAACTTGTTTTAATGATTTTGACATTAAAAAATTAAATGTGAAATACATCAGAAATATTTGATTTTTATAATAATGACTTATTATGGTGATCTCAAATTTAGTATAGTAAAGATACGTCATAGGAGGATGTGCTTAAGAATACTGACAGACTGTGGTTTCAACCAAACACTTATAAAGTCCCATTTGAACTCCTATTTGCTTGTGACAAATCACTATTGACAAGACTTTTCAATCACTCAAAGTTAATCAGTTCTGGTCGACTACAAAACAAAGAAGAGGAGTTCACATGCATCTCCTAAGAATTATTTTCATTAAATCTCCATTCTTTGTGTGTTATAATTATACATTTGTTTCTTAATAGGAGAAGGTCACAGTACAAATGCTGGTGTTCTTTTGAATTTGTTCATGAATGAAGATGCCAACCATGGCTACTTGAATTGTGATTCCACATTTTACACCAAAGTAAGCTATCTTGTAGAAATTTGATAAATTTAAGGATTAAGTCCAGGTATAGAGCCTAGCATTTGCAACTGATTTTATTCTATAACATTTATATGATGTTACGTTTAGCAATTAAAGATTGTACACTGTCATAATTGACCCTTTCATTGTACAGTTTTTTTTTAGGCTGATTCCCAAAAAGTATCAATTATCCACCAAAAAATAAAAGTATGAATTTGACCCTTTGTATTACTTTTTCAATATTGAAAGCAGCTGTATTTTCTATATCTATCAGTAATATTCCTTGAAAACCATATTGGATAGTGAAAAATAATGATTTTAACAAAAGATTGAGGAAAATTAGAAGAAAAATGTTCTCCAATAAATGGCATAAATAATGGCAAAACTAAGTCAATAAAAGACTAAAATCATTACAAAATATAAAACCACTTACAGGATCTTTTTTATATCTTGGATGTTGCTATTTAGATAATTTTTTATAAATATCCAGGTTTCACAGCGTAGAACACAGATGGCAGGACACTTGCAGGTTTGGTGATTGTTGCAAGTACAGGAGGATATTCCTGCATGTTGCAGCACAGAGAAACGTTGTTTGGTAGCTGTGGGGCAAATCTGAATTTTACAGTCAGTGGGTATAAATGTTTATTTGGATATATCTAAACTATGCAGCAAAAGGGTTAAAGTAAAAAAAAAAATGTGTGTATGTTTTTATTGACTAAATTTTGGTTTTTCTGAGGTAGGCCTACAAGGGACTGGACTATTCTTGATAGAAAACCAATACTGAACAGTTTAGGCTAACAATTATATGTAAGCCTACTGTCATTAAGAGCTGAGTTTGCTCCCTTGTAGGCTTATCTCATAAATACTTGTAAGTTATCAAAATAAAATATTTAAATTATTATTATTATGTACTGATAAGGTTACAAAGTTCTCGATAAAAGTGCTGGTTTTCTTAAGCTCACATCCTTATTTTTGGAGGCTCCCACAAAAATATACTTACTAATTTTTTTATCTTACACAGATGTAGCTTGAAAATATATTCTTTATTATATATATAAACCCAATCCATAATTGATATAGAACATTTTTCATTCAGTTTCTAATCCAATTCAGCCTGTATAGAAATATCTAGTGTATGTTGTATTTGAGGTCTTCTGATTAGTGTTGCCTGATTCATCAACCTTTTCTGTAGTTCAATTTACGAACTATTAAGGTTAACTTTTAAAATTTGATGTGGTAACGCTTCAGTCTTAGTATGTCAGTGAAACTGCCTTGATATTTATTAAAAAGAAAAGGTAATTTCTGAATGAAAATCTGTAAAGTAACAGAAAATATTGTATGTGGTTATATTTTGAAAGTCTGGAGTTTTATTAATTTATGTTATTATATAATTCTAGTAAATTCTTCCTGTTTATGTTTTGGAATATCCACCAGTGAAAATTACCAATATTTAAAAGTTACTGTACAGTTAGCAACTAAAAATTAAGAGCATAGTGGTGTGAATATAGCCCAGGGGTTGCACTTACACAAAAAAACTTGTATATGTAATGAAAACAAAAAGATAAATCTATGAGCTGTGGAGAATCTATGCATTTAGTGTGTGCAGTTGTTTTTATTTTGCTCTAATTATTTATGTGTGGTCATTACTTGCTAAACTGAATTAAGCTTGCCTGATGTCTTGTCATAGAAGGAAATTCTGTAGCTCTGAAACTTGAAAATATTTTCAGGAACAAAAAGAACATCTAAAGAAACCATAAGAAAACTCCCACATTTGTGGGTTTTTTTCCCAAGTCTTCTAAACTTCCCATTAAATTTTTGAATTCACTTGGGATAGATCAGATCATAAACTATCTAATAATCTTAATTGAATGTTGTCTATAGCTATTTTTAAAGCTGAGCTTCACTCAGTAATTGTTCAGACTGCATAATGCAACATTATAAGAAGGTGGGAATGTAGCCTGTAGTAATTAAGTTACTAACAGAGAAGAGGAAGCATGTAAGAAACAAGACGTATATGATTCTCAAAAAGTGTTAAGTTTCTTAGCTAATATAAACCTATACTGTGAGATAGGCAGAAAAATTATAGAAAAATAAAAGGTCAAAAACTGAATTTATTACAGGTTTGTTGTTGCACAGAAATAATAGTTTAAATATTTTGTCTTTGCAAATTACAGTAAATATATTTTGTAAAATTACAAAATATTATTACAAAACAGTTTTTGGTTAAAAATTATTATATATTATATGATGTCAAAATATTATGCTTTTGCAATAGACAACTTTTAAAATATAAATTGGACACCATGATATACATGTAACAACGACTCTAATACATGTTAAATGTGTCAAAAAATGAGTTAATACCTTGTGATTAATATATTTTTTGGTATTATTAAGATACCTATTTTCTTTAGTGAAAGAAAATATTACTTCTTACAATAATAATTTTTTCCTTGTTTTTTAACAGTCCTCTCCACCATCCCCTTTAATATCAAGGTATGGATATCGAACATCAACACGAGTATCTTTGCCAGATCTTCTTCACCCAGAAGGTATAGCTATTCCAACTTTGGCTGATGTTACTCATCATGATGCAGAAGTAAATGCCCCCCTTCATTCAAACCATCTGCTGCAAGGAGAAGACTTGCTGCATGCCCTTGATCACGTATCTTCTCTTGTGTAGCATGTTGGACAAAACACACTTCTGTAACATCGTACAGACTGTTTTGGTTCATTCAGAGGAATCTGGTGTCCAAGAACCAGAACTTTGATTGTGTGTTAAACCGAGAAATGTGATCAGATTTCTATGTTCTTGACAAAGTTGAGAAATTTCTGTTGAACATTCTCAACTAAATTGTGTATTTCTTCCTCCATCATGTAATAGGTGATTAAAAAAATTAGTAACTGTGTCAAACATTTAAGTTAAGAAGAGACTGTATTTTTTATTGAAAAGTGGAAAATGTTGGAGCTTAGTATTGGCAAAATTGATATTTAGTGAGAATCAAGAGACAAAGAGTTATTCTGAATAAACCGATCATAATTTTTACTGATTAATAAAAGAAAACAAACAAGTAATAATAAAGTTTTTCAAACCTAAAGAATACTCATCTAAAGCTATAACCTTTTTTTTTAGGTCCTATACACTCATATATTTTAGTCCTGTATTGTGTATCCTGTTCAAAAAATTGCTAGTTTAAATAGTTTTGAGTAACAATAGTGGGGAAGTTACTTTCATTAAACAAGACTTTTGTCTTTATGGTTTATTTGAGCTTATTGCTCAGCAAGAATTGTGTAATAAATCACATTGTTCTTACTGAATTAAACAAAAAAGCACCTACATGTTAAATAAAGATTTTTGGGTTTGAAAGATTTTTTTCTTACAGAAGAAACCTGATGAAAACTCCTTTGTCAAAAATGTTCTTGAAGTGGGACCATTATCCTGCCATTTGAAAAAAATTAAAATCTAAAACTCCAAAAAGGTTTTTCTATAATTATCTAAGATTTTCTTTTAATTGGTATGAATTTTATTTATTTTTGTACTTAAAACTTTTTATCCAAGCTAGTCATCAGCATTGGCTGATGATTCTGTAAGAGAGATATGTACACATGGTTAGTATTATCTTGGGTTTGCATACATGAATATATTAATTGGCACTATCTTAACCATAAAATATCATATTTCTAAGCATTGTGATTTATAAGTGAAGTCATTTAAAATATGTGTCTTAAATAGAATTTTATGAAACTGATTTGATTGATAAATATTCTTCAAAATGTAATTGGTTTTACAATTTTATTATATAATGGTTTTGAAAAATCAAACAAACATTGTCACAGAACTGAAAAGGATATTTTTAAAAGATTTAGTTAAGGTGATTTGAAAGAGTTTTAATAAGTATAATGAGAGATTGAATACAAAAACTATAACTTCTGTAAGTCCGAAATGAAACCTAACCATTTGAATAGCTGAAGTATGAAGGCACTGCCTAACATACTGTGTTTGTTTTATTAACTTATAAGTCCAGTGCATGAAATACTAGATTTGTATTTCGGTTAACAGCTTAAGTTCACGTGGTGAATATTTAACTGTCACGAATGTCAGATACTAATGCTTAGTGATATTTCTCATCTTATTTATTTTCTCACTGATTTTTTTTTTTTGAGCTATTCATACATTTAATTAAGGATGTGACGTATATAACCTCTGCATTTTAGCTTCAATCTCCATTTATTATTATTTAAATATTTTTTAGTTAAGACAAAGTCATACATTTGATGTGCTACAGTTTTCTACTTGTAAGAATTTGAGATATGTTGTTAAAAGGTTTTTCTGATAGGCTAAAATGGAAAATAAATTTTTAAAGGATTTAATTGATTGTGGTGCTAAGCTTTAGCTGTATCCATCTTAAAATGCTTAGAAATACTCAATGCAAAATATAGTTTATTTTTAATATGAGTTTTTCTGTGAAAGTAACTTTCAGCTTTTTTACAGTAAAATACATAGAATAAACAATGTTTTTTAGAATGACTATGTGATCTTTAAACTTTTAGTAAGGAAGAGTATAATGTATTAATTTTATTGATACAAGCAGTATTTTCTTTTCTTTGTATTTGTGCTATAAGCAACTTTTATATAAATAAGATTGAACTTTATGTATGATATCTGTTTTGGTAATTTAATAGCTTCAAAAGCAAACAAAAGTCAAAGTGCTTTGTAACTTGTGCAAGTGTAGTGTTTTAATTTGTATTGTGTATAGTAAAGCACATTATCAAATATAAATTGACTAAATGCCTTCAAGGCTCTTCATTAGTCTTCATTAAAGATCTTTGTAGAAATAATTTTTGCTTGGTTTCAGTTTTCACACACTTATCGTGTTCATGTTGAAATCTGTTTTGTGGCTTAGAGAACTAGCATGTACAAGGTCACAGTGTCCACTTCTTGTCATCGGAAGAATCTATAGGAAAATTAAATGAGGTCATAGTGAGTTTGTTGGTTTAGAGTATACAAGGTATATTGTTCATGTTGAATTATGCTTTTTTGTTGAAGTGATGTCATCATAAGGTTAAAAACCAGCTTGCAGATGTGATATTTATTTTTGTGTAAAACATGTTAGTGAAACTGGTTGTAGAAAGTTATCAAGTTAAAGGACTTCTGTGTTATGTTACTTCTGTAATAATATAACTAGCAAATGACAGGATTTTGAGTGGGACTTTTGTAGTTTCAAATTGTCCATGGATGATGAGATCAAATTTTAAGTAGCATAGGGTTACTTGCAGCTCTATTAGAAATAAGTATGCATACAATGGAAGTGAATTTGTACCAACTATATTGAACTAGGCCAAATGATACATTTTGTACATTAAGGTTGAAGTTTGTGAAAATCTCAGATTTTAAATTGATTTAAGTTCTTTTTTCTCTGGTAGTGAAATA